TTTGTATTATCGTGTATGTGTACATATTGTGTATGTATCTTATATATGATCATATATATCATCATACGATCATATGCATAATATGTGATATATACACAATATATATTATTGTATTGTGTTGTATATATGATACGTTGTGTATATATCATATATGCCTCGCATTTTCCAATCCATTCATTTGCTGATGGACACTTAAGTTGTTTCCATCTTTGGCTATTATGAACACTGCTTTACATACAAGGATCCAAGTACTTGTTCTCAGTACTTTGGGATGTATACCTAGTAGCAGAATTCCTAGGTTATATGGTAGCTACACATTTAACATGTTGAGGCTTGCTCGTTTTTGTGTTTTGATCTTATTTGATCTACTTTGCTAACCTTATTAGCTGTAATAGATTTTTTTGTTTTGTTTTGTAGATTCTTTAGGAATTTTATCTGTGAAAATTGATAGTTTTCCTTATTCATTCCCAAGTTGGATGTCTTTCTTTGTTTAGCCTAATTGATCTAGCTAGAACTTCAAGTACAGAGTTGTGAAATTGACCAAAACAGGTGGTCTTGTCTTGTTCCCAATGTTTAGAGAAAGGCTTTCAGTTACCATTACCTTTCCAGTGCATGATGTTAGCTACAATGTTCAAAAATAACCTAAGCAGGCATGGTGGTGAATGCTGAGGAAGTTGTGTTCTAGTTCTCTTTGTGAGCTATAGTGGGAGGTCGGGGAGATGCAAGAACAGTGCTTTCTTATCACAACCAGCTCTTTCAACAAGCTTTTCCTATTGCTGTAAGCGTTGGAGTAGTTGTAGAGGGTTAGGAAAGTTGATTTCTCCCCCTTCCTTTCTTAACATTCTGATTTCTTTTTGAGGTATAAGGTCTTACTGTATATTCCCAGCTGGCCTCAAACTCAGAGATCCATCTGCCTACCTTTCCCTCTCCAAGTACTGGGATTAAAGGCCTACTTCTGAGTTCTTAATACATTAATCATAGTTTTGTTTTTGTTCGACATAGTGTCTCACTATGTAGCTTTAGTTGGCCTTAAACTAGTGGTCCTTCTGATTGCCAGGATTATAAGCATATACCATAATGCCTGGTTTATTCATAGTTATTTTAAATTCCTTATGTGATAATTCTCAAGGCTGTGCCTTATCTTCATCTGGTTCTGATACTTCTTTGTCTATTAAGATAGTTTTTCTTACCCTTTTGCATGCCTTGTATTGTGTATGTGCCCACTGGATATGGTATATTGGGTGATACAAACTGAAATAAATAGGCCTTTAGTAAATGGTTTATGTTTCTCAGCCAGGAACTGAGCCATTAAATTTTTTTTTCATTCATTCATTCATTTGGTTTGTATGTGTGCATGCATGCAAGTGTGTGGCTGCACATGTGGAGGTCATAGGACAATTCACAGGGATTGAAGTTTCCTTCAAACGTGAGTTCTGAGAATGTAACTCAGGTTCTCAGAGTTGGCACCAACCACCCTTACCTGCTGAGCTATGTTACCTCACTGGCCCATTTCTAATGGTAGAAGTTTAGCTGCTACTGCCTTCAGTTTTCTCTAGAGCAGTGCTTCTCAACCTTCCTAGCTGTGACCCTTTAATACCCTCATGTGACCCTCATGTTGTGCTGATCCCAACCACAAAATGATTTTTGTTGCTACTTCATAACTGTAATTTGTTACTGTTATGAATCGTAATATAAATATGTGACATGCAGGATATCTGATATGCAACATCCAAAGGGGTCGTGACCCACAGGTTGAGAACCTCTGCTCTAGTGCCTTTTGTTTGTTTTTTCTACCCTTCGGCCCTTTCCTTTCCCCAAGATCTTTCAATAGAGACTGTTGTTTGCACCACATTTGGTGATGATCCGTTGTTGTGTACTGGATCCTTCTTGAAATGGTGGCAAAAAATAAGATGGGGGAGAGTGCTTTGTAATCTAGGGCTTCAGTCGGGCACAAGTCCTTGGCTGTATTCTTTACAAATACTGTAGGGCTACTGCTTCTTTTTTCCCTTGTGTTAGGTGAAACAGAAGGAACACTAGGACTAGAGCTAATTAGTTCCCCTTCTTCCAGGATATATAAGCTTCTGATATATTTTGTTGGGAGCGTTGTTAGCCTTTGTTATTGAAGAACATTCTGAATTTATTTGAACTGGGTCCGATGGTACAGATTTATAATCCTAGCTGTTGGAGAGGCTGAGGCAGGAGATTCCAAGTACAAGGTGGGCCTGGGCGATAAGAGTGAATTGACTTGAAACTGTTGCCTTTCTCCAGTGTTTATTTCAAAAAGGCTTACATTCTCCTTCCCCAAAGAAGAGTTTTTTGTTTGTTTGTTGTTGTTGTTATTTTATTTTTGGTTTTTTGAGACGGGGTCTCTGTGTGGCTCTGGCTGTCCTGGAACTCCCAAGCTGGCCTCAAACTGCCTGTCTCTCAAGTGCTGGCATTAAAGGCAGGCGCCATCATGCGGAGCAAGGAAAAGATTCTTATTGGCTCTTACTTCTGGGGATATTTCAGAATGGTTACTTTTCCTCTCCTTCAAAGGGGAGGAGATTTCAGAGCCAGAACCTGGTGAGATTCCTGGAGGCAAAGCCATGGAGTAGGAGGGTCTCTTCCCCTTGGAACTCTCACTCCACAAGCTTGTCTTACTCAGCATTTGTCAGATTGCTTTTCTTTACTAATATTTTACCCTAGTGCCTTCTGCCTCAGGTAAGAGTCTTGGGTGTGATTGCATGTATTTTCCTATCTAGAGATAGGGGGCTATTATGTTTTCCGGTGGGCTGGAGCAAACTTGCCAGTTTTCAGTTTGTTAGGGTTTTTCTTGCTGTAATGACAAGAATGATGATATCTGTGAGCACTGCATGTGTTGGAGCTGAAACTGGAAGTCCTACGTTTATATTTTAAAATTAGAAAGATCTTGTCCAGTTTAAAAATAATGCTCTTCAAGAGGGTTTTAAACTTTCCTGTGAACCATTTGCTTGGCTAAGATGACTCATTCTCAGTTATTTTCATCCTTTTGAATCTTAGATCTCCATTTTCATATGTTTAGTAAGAACGTTTTCAGACCAAAATATTTGAAAAGCTTAAGAACTTGATATATTTCTTGAAAATTGCTAAGAACTGTGCCCTGAATTCATAAAAAAAAAAATACGACTCTTGCTTCCCCCAGCATTGTTTTTTGATTTACCTTTTAGAGAATGTGCTAAGGTAGTTCTAGGGGAGTTTCTTTACTATTTTACCCTGTTTGTTTTTGCAAAAGTAACTCAATTTTTAAGGCACTTTCCAATCTCTGGAGACTCGGCCCTGTTTAAATTTGACAAATGAATGAGAGTGGAAGTCTTAGACTGCCAGGGCCTTGTTTTCAATTCGCCTGGAGGAACGAACTAATTATAAACTCCAGATCTTGGTGACTTTAGCTTAATAGGACTACTTTTATAATCTGTGCGACAGAGGACAGTTCATCTAAAATGTGTTATTTATCCAGCTGAGAAAGTACTTTGTGTACTTTGAAGCCTTATGATTTGATAACTTGCTAACCATTTTAATTTGGGGGAGCTCCAGTTCTTATTCGTGGATAACAGTTGCAGTCAGTCTCAGGTGATTGACACGCTGTGAAGTTCGTTAACCTTGCACTTTTTCTAGGATTCATTTTAAATTTTGTTTTTCCTCACAGAATGTAGTGTGAGGAATGGCCATTAAACCAAAAGCAAATTAGTTGGATGGTGTCTAAAATTGGTTATTAATTGGCAAAGTCTTACTGTGTTTGTGTTAAGAATTTTTTTCCTGTTTTATTATACCCAATTGTTTACAATGACTATCTGTGTTTGGGAAAATGTTTTTTGAAGGAGGGGAATTAAAATGTTAAGTATGATGAATGTAATTTTAACTCAGCAGATGAAAATTACTTTATAAATGATTGGCTGCATTGAAAGTATTTAATTAAAAATATTAGTTGTTTGTTATGTAAAAATTATCTGTGGCCCATTCCTGGTGAAACTCATTTATTCTCTGAATTGGAGCTAGAAAGCCCTTCACTCGCAAAGAACTAGGGACTCTAGGGAGGAAATGGATGAAGACTAGCAAGTCTTCAGAACTGCTCAGCTTGTAGTTTGCATCATACCAGCTTCCACCCACACTCAGTAGGCTAGGGGATGGTATCAATGCTCCTCCTGAAAATGTTTTTATCTTAAGTTCTTCATATATCATAATTATATCCTCCTAACTCCAGGTCCCCATTGTTCTTGATATCTTCGTCACATTTTGTGTCCACCAAAACTCACTTGCTATCTCTTAGCATAGAGTTCCCATCCTTTTCTGATCTCCATGTCCCTTGCTCTAATCCTGTCCTGCCTGTCCTGCTAGCCCTCCCACTCGCCCTGCAAGCCTCAACCAACCTTTTGTAACTTCTTCCATGGCCTTGGTCTTGTCCTAGTTTCACAGTGTTATCTTTGTTTCAGCATCCTGCTGCTAAGTGGTACCTGACACAGCTCTTCTAGGACCCTCATCCCTTACACTGCCCACTTCCTCAACAGCTGCCTCAACCTCCTGCCTTTTAATTCTTTGAATATAGCAAGTTCTTCACCTTTCTAATCTCTGCTGTTTTTTCACATCCAGCAATCATTTTCTTACTTTTTGTCTGACTATCTCTAATCAATCTGGCTGGAGCTTTCTTACCTTATTCTTTGTCAGTGCCTCCTGGTTGTTATCTTCTCAGCATCTATTTCAATTTGCAGCTATTGTATATTCGCTTGCTCACTGAGACTTGCTTTGATTATAAGATATCACACACACACACACACACACACACACACACATACACACACACACACACATCCACATCCACACACACACATACACCTATTTCTGAAATTAAGGTGTAAGATACATCTTACACATATATACAAGATATAATTTTTACAAGATAAGTCATTTCATAATTCCAAAATGAAATGACTTATCTTATAATAAATTATATTATGTATTTATAAATTATATCATGTATTTTATAAAATGTTATGCTTTTTGAGACAAGCTCTCTGTAGCTCAGGATAACTCAATAGGTATCCCAGGCTGGTCTGGAATTCACTAGGTAGCAGAGGTCGGCCTAGAACTCTTCATGATCCTTCAGCTTCAGTCTTCTGAGACTGGCATGTACCAGCAAAACACCATATTTGAAATGATATATTTTCCCCAGTTGATTGTATGTTCCACAAGTATATTATCTTTTACTCACCAGTAAGAGCTCATGCCTATTATAGTACATTTCACCTTGTAGACACCTTGTAAATAATGGATGAATGAATATCATTGTCTCTCTTTGGGAAATGTTGGCCCAACTTCTGAAGCAGCATCAATCAGTGTATGAGTATGAATTGTTAATATGCCAAAGAGTTGACTCATTATTTTTGGAGATTGTCTTCTACTTAAATGAAGAAGACCTTTAAATTTATCTGTTTTCCCATTTATGTAACTTGTTCCATTCTAGATACACATATGTTCTGGTGTAGGAACACTTACCATTTATAAAAAAATGAATTCACATAAGCTAGCTTTTACCTGGTGTCAGCAATAGTCTTTTATTAGGAGAAGGCACGAGGAAGGTACCAAACAGCAGCAGGCTTTTAACCTTCAGGCAGGTGTGACTCTTGAACTTACTTTTTCATTTACTTCATCCTCCAAGGCGTGCAATCACTTGGTGTGCCCACTTCCCTTTAAAGTGCAAGAACAACAAAAGGGCAGCATGAGTAAGTGGAGTGCCTTAGACCAGCTCCTAGAAAAGTCTCAACCCTACTCCAGAGCTGGAGGAAAGATATGGCTGCAGATCCTTTTCGTTTTCCGGATTCTGCTCCTGGAGACTGCCATCGAGTCAGCCTGGAGTGACGACCAGCTCAATTTCCATTGCAACACTCAGCAGCCTGGTTGTGAAAATGTCTGCTATGACCAAGCTTTCCCAATCTCTCACGTGCGCCTCTGGGTCCTACAGATCATATTTGTGTCTGTGCCTACACTCTTATACCTGGCACATGTGTTCTATACCATTCAGCAGAAAAAGAAGTCGAAGAAGCAAGAGAAGGAAGTTGGAGTTGCTCGATTTGATGGTGCCAGTGTGGAAATGCACTGGCAGAAAATTGAAGTAAAGAAGTCCAAGTGTGGCAGTGAAGCCCATAGGAAGGTGAAAATTAGAGGCAGGTTGCTGCTGACCTACATACTCAGTATCTTCTTCAAGTCTGTCTTTGAGGTGGCCTTTGTGCTGATCCAGTGGTACATTTATGGATTTACCCTGAAGGCCGTTTACATTTGTGAACACTCTCCTTGCCTGCATCAGGTGGACTGCTTCCCCTCTCGCCCCACAGAAAAAAGCATCTTCATCCTCTTCATGCTGGTGGTGTCCCTGGTATCTTTAGTCTTGAATATAATTGAGCTGGTCCAAGTCTTATTTAACACCATTAAGAATTGTGTGAGAGATGAGGATGAGTTTTACTATGGTACAGCTGATCTACAGAGCCTTTCCCAGGAGTCCTCACCAAGTGTTCTCACTACCATGATTCCTAAGGATCAGGTGGTTCCTGTGAAACAATCTTCAGTCTATGTTTAAAGTGAGCAAAACTATGTCAGTTACAGTATGTAACAGAGTCAAAGCGGGGAAGGGCAGGCAGGAAGTATCCTTTCTGCCTTGCACTCAGCCTTGTCTTCACTCTGATGATAAGCAGAATTTTCAGAGGGTTTGGATGGAGAGAAAAGCAAAACAAAGATACTGAACACTAGTGTTGTAGAGTAGCAGATATCCAGCAGTAGCAGTGGTCATGACAATAGCAGCCTGCTATCCTAGATATTGCAATTTGGGCTTGAAAACATTGTGATTTTGCTTGGTTGCTAAAGGGAATCAAAGTGTAGTAGAAAGTGTACCCATGCTTCAGTACAGATGGTGTTCAATGGCCTCAATTGTAAAAACTAGCAAATACAAAGACATTAGACCACAGGGTCTGGGATAGGAAGGGGAAGAGACTTGTAACCAAGGCATGTGTTACTATTTAAAGTGCTTGACTCTGGAGGGTTAGGCATCTAGCTCACCGGTAGATGATTTGCCTAGCATGTATAAGACCTCAAGTAGCACAAGAATAAAACAATAGTAACTTTAACAAATGAACTAAATAAATAAAATGACTGACTCAAAGAACTTCTAGTCCAAATATAACTTGTATTAGGCAGTGCATAAGGGCCATTCCTCTCCCATATTACCTTAGAATGGTTCTGTGTATGGGGAAGAGTGATTTATTATTTATCCATAGAAGCAGATACGGTGTAAATTCACAAACCTACGTTTTAAAATAATACAAACATACCATTGAAAGTTGAGCCTTTCTCTTGGATTTTAGTGTTTGAGTCCATTCTGTGTTTATACTGTTTAATTCCTGATGTAAAAGTAAATTATCTTTTCCCTTAAAATGCATCCCCCAATTTATTGAATGATGTGTAATAGTTCAGTTAATTGTGATGAGTTGTCTTTTTCTCTTGTATATTATAGCAGCAATCCTGTTGCTGACAGAAACAATTTATTTTTCTTTTCCAAGATAGAGTCAGAGCCCCAAATGAAGCAATTGTACTGAAACAGCACTTATGAACACTACAAACTTAAAGAAATGCTTAGAGGTGAACTATGAAATGTGCCTACATGAATTTGGCAATAGTGGACATTCTTGACTTTCTTCTACATAATGCATATTAATTCAGATGTTGCCTTCTGCTGTGAGTTTGGCAGTCTCTTGGGATAACTGGCATTTTTCATGTTCATATTAAGATTTTATTTGGAAAGTAGGAGAGGGTGAGGAAGATTTGTGAAATATCTGTGTAACTGATTTGAAACAAATAAAAGAAATAATACCCATTTCTTCTCATGCCTTTTGAAACATTCCACAGATGATTGAAAAATGTTGGGCTGCAGACTTTTGTTCTTGCATGTCAGCTCCACACACAATTTTATTCAAGAAATAATAATTTGGTTACCATTTGATGTTAATCTACTATCATGTTCAGCTTTGTTTCATGCAATGCAGGCCTATCTTATCTTATTCTAGAGAATTCTTTATTCAATAAAGTTGTGAGAGTGTGGTCCATGTGTATGCCTCCTCTGATAGCTTCTTACTGGTCTTTTGAACTCTTCATTGGTGCATCTTAATTTAAGCAAATTAAGCTGGGTGTGGTGGCTCATGGAGGCCACACAATTGCAGAGTGTTCAAGGCTAGCTTGGGCTACAGTGTGAGACACTCCCCTACCTCCTGCCCATGAAGCAAAATACACTGTATTTACCACAGTTTTTAAAATTCAGGTGGACTGACTCTGTGACATGATTCTAGTATCAGCCTCCTTCATTTCATGTAATAGAATCATGGCTATATCCATGACTTCCAGATATGCAAAAAGAATGCAGTTGGGTTTTTCCCCTTCCTTTTTAAGGGATGTACTCTCATCATTAAGCATCTTCCCATCCCAGGGAACTGGGGGAAGTGGAGAACACAGGTATAGATCATCAAACCTGTAGCTTATAACGTCTGGTTCTGACAGTTGACACAGTCTTATTTGGAAAACTTAGTCTCTTAGTTAAATGATGAGTTTTAGTTCTTCTTTTTAGAAGTGGTTTGTGAAGATTAAGCAGTTATTTAGTAATGGGGTGCTTGTGCCTTTTGGACACTGCAAAAGTTCTGAAACCATGGAATCAGATTGGGCTCTGCTACTGTCACTCCTGTTCCTGTTTCATTTTCACATGTGGCTTGCTTGTTTTTTTTACACTTTTTACTGTGAGGTAATTGCAGATTCAAACGTAATTGTAAGAAATAATAGACTCTGTATATCATTATATTCACTTGTAACTTTTTTTGAGACAGGCTCTTTCTATGTAGCCTTGTTTGGTTCAGAATTTGCCTTTAAGGAACTCCCTCTGTAGATAAAGACTGGTCTTGAATTTACAGAGATCCATCTGACTTTGCCTCCATAGTGTTGGGATTAAAAGTGTGTACCTCCACATCTGGCCAAATAAGTGTTTCTTAAGAAAGTCATAGAACCAGGTATCATGTATCCCAGTCTGGTCTTGAAGCTGTGGTGCTTTACTATGAAGCTGAAGATGACCTTGAACTTCTTCTGATCCTCTTGCCTTCACCTTAGTGCTGGGATTATAAGTGTGTGTCACTATGCCTGGTTTATACAGTGCTGCAGATTGGGAATATGGTGATATTTTATTTGTACTGAAATGTGATTTTATTTGTATGTTAATAAATAAAGTTGCCTGGGGGTCAGAGCTAATAGCAAGCCATAGCAGAAGCTGGGTGGTGGTGGTGCATGCCTTTAATCCCAGCACTTGGGAGGCAGAGCTAGGCAGATCTCTGTGTGTTCAAGAATACAGCCAGCATGGAGACACACGCCTTTAATCTCAATACCAACCATAGAAGACCTGGAGGTCTGTACAGACAGGCAGTAATGAGGAGGACATGTGGTTGGGTTTACAACCAATGAGAAGGCAGAATAGAAAGTCTATAAAAAAGACAAACAGACAAGAAGTAGCTCTCTTGCTGAAGAGGACAACAGCGGCAGTGAAGGGTAAGGTTTTTAGCTCTTATCTATTGCTCTGACCTCTTGGGCTATTAACTCTGCATTTGACTCTGTGTTTCTTATTTAATAAGACCGTTCATCTACATTGGCCCATGACTTTGTGCATGCCAAGCAAGGACTCTGCCACTGAGCTACACCCCCAACTTTTGCTGTATTTTTTTGTTTGTTTGTGTTTTTAAAACAGGATCTCTTGTAACACATGCTGGTCTTGAACTGAGTATGTAGTCAAGAGTGACTTTGAATGTCTGACTTTTTTTCTGCTTCTACCTGCCATTTACTAGAAATAGAAGTGTACACCATTATACCTGTTAACTTTTAGCATAATATCATAGGTAGACAATTGACATTGACATAATCCATTAACCTTCAGATTTCACCAATTTTATATACACTCATTGTGTTTAGTTATATATAACTTGTGTAGAGTTGTTTATAATTTGTGCAGAGTTGTGTGCCCACTATAGTCAAAATACACTGTAGTTTCAGCAGTAGTACCTTTTTATAGTCATAGCCACATTTTTTCCTTATCCCTGGCCCTTGGTAACTCCTAATCTTTACTTAACCTATATAGTTTTGTCATTTCAAGGATGCTATTTAAACAAATTATATAGGCCATAACACTTTTTAAGTTGGTTCTTTTGGCAATTGTTGTTGTTTGTGTGTACTATCGTGGTATATATATATGCACCTGCCTGTGCAAGCACATGTGGAGGTCGGAGGTTGATACCACCTGGAGAACCTGGGAGGAAAGAGGCTATCCTTTCTGGGCCAGAGCTAGATCTCGATATCTCTCTCTCTCTCTCTCTCTCTCTCTCTCTCTCTCTCTCTCTCTCTCTCTCTCTCTCTCTCTCTCTCTGTCTCCCTCTGTGTGTGTGTCAGTGTGTTATAATAAAGATCCCCAAATAAAGTTTATAAGCAACACTTTAAAAATTATTTTTGAAATGGGGTCTTGCTATATATCTGTGTGGCTCAAGCTTGCCTTGAATGCACTGTGTAGTACAGAGTGGCTTCAAACTCATAATCCTTTTGCCTCAGCCCCCCCAAGTGCTGGAATTGTAGGTATACACCAGCATATCTGGCTATAAGCAATATTTTACATGATAATATTAGTTCATTCTTCAGACTTACTTTTTTTTAATTTTTTTTTTATTTTGCAATACAATTCAGTTCTACATATCAGCCACGGATTTCCTTGTTCTCCCCCCTCCCGCCTCCCTCACCTTCCCCCCAGCCCATCCCCCATTCCCACCTCCTCCAGGGCAAAGCCTTCCCCGTGGACTGAGATCAACCTGGTAGACTCAGTCCAGGTAGGTCCAGTCCCCTCCTCCCAGGCCGAGCCAAGCGACCCTGCATAGGCCCCAGGTTTCAAACAGCCAACTCATGCAATGAGCACAGGACCCGGTCCCACTGCCTGGATGCCTCCCAGACAGATCAAGCCAATCAACTGTCTCACCCATTCAGAGGGCCTGATCCAGTTGGTGACCCCTCAGCCATTGGTTCATAGTTCATGTGTTTCCATTCGTTTGGCTATTTGTCCCTGTGCTTTATCCAACCTTGGTCTCAACAATTCTCGCTCATATAAACCCTCCTCATTCTCGCTAATTGGACTCCCAGAGATCCACCCGGGGCCTAGCCATGGATCTCTGCATCCAGATCCCTCAGTAGTTGGATGGGGTTTCTAGCACAACAATTAGGGTTATCAGGTAGCTGCAGTGGACCCTTGATGATCAGTAGTCCTTGCTTTGAAATAGCTCGTAGTGCTTGATAGAAAATTTAACATGTGGTTTCTGATATGTATATTTATTCGATATCGTATTTCTTTATGTCTTCTAATCAATCTACTACTTTAGCTTCATTTTTGTCCAAATACAGAATAACTAGAAGGACATAATTCAAAGCCAGTATGCCAATGTTATCCATGCTTAATTTAGACTGTGAACTCAAGGACTTCAGTGAAGCAGTTATAATCAGACATGTTCCTCTACTAGAAAAGATCCATGCTTCTCTTTACCTTTTCAGCAAAAACATTTCATTTCCCCATTTGCATACATACCCCATGCACTTGGTACTGTGTCTTAACAATTAATTCTATTCCACGTATATACAGAGTACTGCTGTTTGTTAAGAAATAATATATATTTTGTTTTTTCCCAAAATTTCTCATTTTTTCTCTTAAATATCTTGAAGCACTTAGCCCATTGTGATATATCTGATGCAGATATTTTTCAAATTCATTCAGCTTCATTGACCATGCAATTTGAATATAATTTATTGATGTAAGGATAGTCTTTGTCCTAGTTAAAGACAAACCGCACAGATGAACTTTAAAACTTGAAATTAGTTCATTAAGCAGACAGTTTACTGTGGATTTAGGACAAAGGACATGAAGGGCATGATCAGCGTCTATAGAAAGCTTACTATATGGAAGGAGAAGGCTAGCAACAATACAGTAATGGGTTGTGCTCTGTGTCCTTGAGGAATGCAGTTTGTCAGAGAATGAACAATGTATAAAAAGAAAATGGCTTTAAGCTTAGATTTAGTTCATCCTTTTAACAAAGTAATATTTCAGTCTTTACTTTTTCAGTGTTTTTAGTTAAAATTTCTTGTCTCATTTCCTTGTCCAGGATGTCCTTTGTCTCATTTCTTTATGATTACTGAAAATTTCATCAGAGGTACTTAAAAGTTGTGTACTAGCCAATCACAGTGGCTCACACCTCCAAGCCCAACATGTGGGAGGCTGAGGCAAGATGATTGCAACAAAGTGGAGAGCAGCCTGGACTACAAAGTAGGCTTCTGTCTCAAAAGAAAAAGAAAAACAAAATAACAACAAAACTGGAATGTCCAGCTGGTCCATCTCATCCTTTTGGAGGTCCTTTCTGCTACGCATTGTGGTACAGATTTAAAATAAGGCCCCTGTTCTCACAAATGTTAATTGCTGCCTAGCTTGGGAAGTAAGGCCACATGGTCAGTCATAGGGAAGTTCTTTGATGGAGGTGTGGATAGAACGCTAGAGATCATGAAAAGAGAAGTGACAGAACAAGATAGAAGGCCCTACAAATGCTTCCCAGAGAAATGGTTTGAAGGTGAAAGAGGAATGAACTAGCAGTGTAGCTGCCTTACTTTCAAGTAAGGAAAGCTAAAATGTGTTACTTCCTTGAAATGCCCTGCCTGCACAGAGACTGTGGAGTTGTCCCATCTCTGTTTTCTCTAATAAGCTGTTACCATCATCTACTTTTTTGTGGTATTAGGATCAAATCATGCATTCTAGATAAGCATTCTACTACTGAGCCACATCCCCGGCCCCGGTCTTCTTCTTTTGTCTTTAGCTTTTCCTTCCAGAGTGTAACCTCCATGAGAAAAGAGCCCCCTTGTACTGTTAGCATAGTGCCTATCACACAGTAGAAACTTGAAAAATGTTTGTCAGTGAAATGAATGAATGAAGAATGATGAATACTTGAACAGATGGAAACAAGTATATATAAAGACTCAGTTGAGAAACTGCAAGGAATTAGATGTGGCAGAAGAAGCCCGTTAAAAGATAAAGACTTGTGATCTCATTGAGGTCTTTAATAATGATATTTGAAGAGGATTTTTAATATTTTACTCATTGATATTATTTTTTCCTGTAAGGTCCACAGTTTTATATCCAAATGTGAATGAGATTTTATGGTACTTTCTATGCCTCCCTTACTTCACTTAGCACAATGACTTTTAATTCCTTATATGTTGTCTCAAATGGTAAGATTCCTTCTCTTTATGGCTACATAGTATTTTATTATGTATATGTACATTTTATTTTCTTCTTCACTATTGTGAATAGTATTGCGAGAGTGCAGATGTCTATATTTCATTTTTTTTATACATGTAGCCAGTAGTAGGGCTGCTAGACCATGTGGAAGATCTGTTTTTCATTTTTTTGAGAAATCTTCATTCTGTTCTCTATGATGCCCCTATACTAATTAACATTTCTACCAACATTGTGTATATTTTCCTTTTTCTCCATGTCGCCCCTAGCACTTCATGTCTTTTGTCTTTTTGATGATAACCATTCTTACTTGAGAAAGGAGATAATTATGTTGTAGTTTTTAAATTTTATAAAATTATTTTATGTGTATTGGTGATTGTATGTATGTATATCTATGTACCATGTGCATTCCTGGTACCTTTAGAGGCCAGAAGAGGGCAGTGAATTCCACTGTAACTGGAGTTTTGGACAGTTATGAACCACCATGTGGGTCCTGGGAATCAAACCTGGGTTCTCTAGAAAAGCGGCCACAGCGTTCTTAACCACTGAGCTATCTCTCCAGCTCCTTCAGTGTAATTTTGATTGGCATTCCCTGGGGAGTGGTGCTGTTGAGCATTTTTTCATATTCCGTTTTGCCATTTATGTGTCTTCTTTTGAGAGATGCCTGTCAAAGTCTATTGCCATGTTTAAAAATTCAGTTATTTGTTTGGGTGTGTTGTTATTGTTTGTTTTGCTGTTTGATTGAGTTCTTTATATTCAGTGATATTCTTGACGTTAGATAACCAGACACAAAACTTTGATTCAAATTTATAGTGTTATTTGGCTATTTCTCTAACATCATTGAACTCCTAAAGAGTTACAGATGGCTGTTGTTCCATTCGTGTTGCCACATTGGGGAATTTGTCTTCCTCTTTTTATCTTTAGTGCTTACAATGACATGACTAGGCCATTAAGCCTCCATGTGTGATCATGATAAATAGTTCATCTTCCAGGTCTTTAATATGATGTAGTTCAGATGTAAGATAAAATAATGGGGAGTTGAATATGAAGACCAAATAATACTTTTTAAAAAATACCAAGTCTGTTGCTTTATATTTGATACACTTTTTTCTGGTAAGAAAGCACAAGGCTGGGATTTTCTAGTTTTTTTCCCACAATGCATAATAAGGTATGAAGAGTTCTCACTAAATTAGACACTTTGAAAAGTGTATGTATGTATGTATGTATGTATGTATGTATGTATGTATGTATTTTATGTGTTTGAGTGTTTTGCCTGCATGTATGTATGTCCACATGAGTGCTGGTACCTGGAGAGATCAGAAGGGACCCGAGGGGATCAGAAGAGAGCATGGGGCCTGGAAATGGAAGTGAGCCACCATGTGAGTGCTAGGAATCGAACCTGGGTCCTCTGTAAGAGCAGCAAGTGCTCTTAACTACTGAGCAATCTCTCTACCCCCTGAAGTTTTAGGAAAAGAAAACTTGTTAATGTTAATTATAACTTGCATGTGTGTGTGTGTGTGTGTGTGTGTGTGTGTGTGTGTGTGTGTGTCTCGTGAGGTCAAGAGTTCAACTGCATTGCTGTGCTCCAAAGACAGCTTTCACCTCATTCTACTCCTTTACTTGGCTCTTATATTTCCACCCTCTTTTTGCTGTGTTCCTTGAACCTTGAAGGGGATGTTGTTGATGTCACTTATGGCTAAGTCTTTTGTTCTTATTACTTTGACCACTTACGAGTCTCTGCAATTATCACTGCCCATCGTAAATGGGGCTTCTCTGACCAGAGTTGATGGTAGCACTAACCTATGGGAATAAATATAATTCCTAGAGGACAATTTCATGGCCACATCCTGTTTATTTTGTGGAACAATAGCAATAGCTTCCCACCTAAGGTCTATGACCTCCCAAGCCACCCATATTTCCAATGATTGGAGAAAAATAACCAATGACATGTTGGCCTTATTTAAGAGAGTTTAGT